CACCCTGTGCTACAAATAGAACTCTGGGGCCAGAAAAAGAAACGAGCCCAAGTCACCCATAAGAAGGACATGCCGTGAGCTTCTGGGCTGCCTACATCTGCCTACAGTTCGCTGATACCTGTGAGATTGAAGCTGCTCTTAAGAGGGAGGAGGAAAGGCCATGCTTCACAAGAAGCTTCCCAACCTGGCTCTAGGAAAATGATGGGCCATGAGCGACTTCTGAAATACTTGATGGGTAAAAGCCACAAGGGCCAATCGTAAGGAGCTGTTTGGCACAGACATGAAGCGGAAAACGGGTAAGGGGCGCCGAGCTGAGCCCTGTCACCCAAAACCACGCAACTTCATCAGCAAAAACGTCCATTTGGTTAAGACCCCTGGAAAAAATATATTTAAATATATATATATATATATACTTCCAGTCGTGATAAATTCCATTTAAAACCAACAGGGGAAAATAAACAATGGTCTTAAGCAAATGGAAGAAAAGCGCCGACCCTAGCAACACAAAGTGCTGTGGCGACATCAAAACCTGGGACTCTGGACCACAAGTTTGCAGGCGCTTGGCTTCGTCTTCACGGTTCTGGTAGAGGACTAAACCAGCAGGTAAACCAGGAATCGCCATCTGTTGTTCGAGCAAAGCAACCAAAAAGGACACCTGTGGTCTTCACCCTGTCATCGAAATGGACTCTAGGACAGACCGTTTACCAATGACACGGTCGAGTCCGGAAAAAGATGCGTCACATACCCGCGAAGACCTTTCAGCTCCTGAAGTGACAGCTGCATAGACACAAGTACGTACCGCAGCACCAAACTGCTGGATGCCCCCCCAAAATCCAAGGAAGCGTGCAATGATTTGCAAGGCAACAGTCATGTTGGAACGGGTGCTCGGAGAACAGGTACATCAAGCAAAGCAAAATGATCAGAAGCAATGAGGATGTGTTGTCTTCGACTACGTACTCTAACATGTGGTTTTGGAACACGCACAGTGGTCGCTCCATTGAACCTCTGGGAGAATCAGTGCTGACTGATAGACCAGCAGAACTAACTCCTCTTGGGCATTCTGATGGGAACCTGCCCCACATCCCCAAATCACTACTCCAACATGATAAAGTCCACACCTGAAACTGCAAGGGAAAGGATTGCTTTCCAAGCATCATGTTGGCCAGCATCATGTCCTTCTTGCGCTTGAGCCTCAGTGTCGCTTGGCGATGGTCACCCTGGAAGCTGCAATGCTGCAAGCGGTGTCCGACATGCCCATGCCGACAACACAGGTAACGAAAATCCATGTTGCCGTTCCCAAACGTAGCTTCACCACAAGGAGTTGAGGGCTGTTTTGTTCTTCACTCGAATGGCTAGGCACGAACGTACAGTACATCTTCGAAGCATGGCCGAACATGCTGCCTGACTATAGTCGAAGCCAGTACGCACTGCTCGCATCAAACTGAAGCAAGATGAAGCAAGTGACCCTCCTCGCCTCCTGGCCCCTTGCAGCATGTGGCCATGGGTCAAAAGCCCCAATCGTACCCCCAGTAAACATCAACCAATCCCCACTAACATATTAAAATCCCAAACATGGGTGGTGAATTCACCCAAACCAAAAAAAACAAAAAACAAAAAACAAAAAAAACAAAAACCAAAAAATGGGTGGTGAGTTCACCCAACCCCCCCAAAAAAAAAAATGTGATGCCAAAACGGCGCTCTGACCAGCGCCGAGGGTTCCCTTCCAAGGCGCTCAGCTTGCAGCTCCTCCGGATTGGTGAACTTGATCCTCTCCGCCTCCGTGGCCTCGAAGGTCTGTGGCATGTTCTCGAACTCGTTCTGGCCTCAAACGTTCTCTCCATGGGTCTCCTTCTTGGATGGCTTGCTTAAAAAAGAGGAGGGGTTCCCCTGGTTTAGATGGGGATTCTTCCATTTACCAGGGAAACCCATCTATTTTTCCAAAAGGCCACCTATGGTTCTCTCTCTCTCTCTCGAGCATCGTCGAGGTCTCGCTCGTCCCAGAGGGATGCGAACGTTACCAGCTGCTCAACACCCAAACCATCCCGTTTGCAGGGCAGATTGGACAGCTTGGCACAGGAGTTGTAAGATGAATGTTTCAGGTCTGCTGAGTGTGCTTAAGGATCTCTGCCAGTTAAGAGGATGCATGTTTGAGGTCTGAGTCTGCCATTTCGATGGCGCTTGCCATTCCGACGTCCAGGATCCGCATGCGCGACTAGCAGCTTATGGTTGCTGACGTTTTCAGGACACGAGTCGAAGCCTATTGAGCCGGACAAGCACAAAGCCTGGCAACAGGGTCTGACCACCGGGTCGCAGGCCGCCCAAATACCAACGCCAACAACATGTATGCCAAACTTGAGTCACCCAACACGCGCTAAAAGTGCCATCTTTCCAGTATTTTTTTAAGTTTGCACAGCATGTCATAACCCTTCGAGCTTCAGGTGCTGCAAACTGATTGAACTGCCATGTCAGCCCTTCCAGCTAAGGCGCAGTTGTTCAGCAAGACCTGGGCACGAAAGGCAGAGCACCATCTGTTCCAACGTCTGTGCGATCACGCTTGGCCCTGCTACTGGACCTGTGAGAGCTGCAATAGTTGTCCTCCTCCAAAACAAAACATCATTCACCAACAGCCCTGGCAATCCTAATGACCGCGGTGGGTGCAGCAAACAGCGCCTGACCTGACCTAGAATCCACTTGAGGGCCATGCTCGTGTGAAGCTTGCAGGTTTCTCGCCCTCGTTCTCTGGCGGGAACTGCGGATATCTCTCCTGAGTGGGCAAAGGAACAGACACGTGAGCCCGGATCGTCCGTGACACCAGGCCATATTGAGATGCGGTCAGACAAATGAAAAACACGTGGAAGAGTCATGCGCACTGCAGCTGAGTATTCATTACCATCCCTCACTCTGCAGCACAAACTAGCAAGGTAAGGCATTTGTTATTGCAGTCTCATATCGGCATCGGCCATGCATCTCTCTCTGTGTCTCTCTGTTGCTACGCGTGCCTGCCGAGTTCCATTCAGAATACTGAGGGAAGGCCCAAAGAGACCAGTGATTCGCCAGTGCTTCCAAGGAGCCCGAAGTGCGAAGACCATGTCTGCATAGGTCTCGCCTCAGGGAGCCGCCCAAGGCCAGCACGAGAAATACGAGCATCAGCAACCTGTTGGCTAAGACCCTGCTGTCCCCGTGACTTGGATAAACAAATCACAAGACTGGATATTTCGAGTGAGAAAGCTGAGAGCCCATGTAAAGCGGGCTGGTCAATGAAGTGATGGACCCCACATTTTCATCACCAGCTTAAGGCGACGACAGGCACGCACACACTCACTCATGGGCTCTTCTGGCAGTTGATGCAAGCTCCGTCTCCAAATGCCGAACCAAGTTGCAATAGTGGGGCTCTGCCAAGGCCTGCGAAGCGACGTCGACAGATTGACCCCAGCATGCCAAAAAAACAAGCAGTGATTCGCCAAGCTTCAAGTGCGATTGCACTTGCTGTCTTCCGTGGGTCATTGTCACCACTGCTCTCTTTTTGCCGGATAAATCCTGGTTTCTTACGAAACCTGGACTTGGTCGCCCAAGTTAGCTGCATGGAGCCGCAGCCCCTCAAAGCCGTCCCACTCTATGCCGGTCCTTCTTGAAGATGATGCGGATGACATACTCCAGCTCCGTGGCCGTGGTCAGCTTGATGCCCGCCAGCTGGTCCACAATCACTCCCAAGTTGTCTGGGCAGATCTTGTTGAGCAGACTTCTGGCCTGAAGCTCTGGCTGGGGAAAAACCGAATTTGCCGCGTGAAGCTTACATCAGCCCACATCAGCTTACGCATAGCATAGGAGGCCCGAGTGCAATGGCTCAGCGAGGCGACTCCGCGAGTCAAACACTATGATGGTTTTGCAGCGTCCTTATTTTTCACTTGGTTCAGCAACAAAGCGATTTTGACCGCACCCACCGTCCTTCATTCACCCTCCCATGGCGCGCCTTCCTCTCCAACTCTTCCAGGCCGCCGGACACCTGCCGGACACGGCTCGAAAGCGCCAAAAACACAAGACACAGACCAAAAAAAAGAAGAAGATGAAATGATACAACCAAGCACCTGGTTTGGACCTTAAGTGGTACCTTCCCCATTTGGAAAGTTCAAAGCAGCTGGGGTTCAACTCCGCAAGCCAATCCAGCTGTCTCCCAATGACGCGACCCGCTCTGCTGCCGTCTCGCCCGAAAGAATCAACAGGCCGGAAGCCCCACGACTTTACATCCACCCTCCCACCAATTGACATGAAACCTGACAGGGGGGGTCCTGGAAGACCATGTTCCTTTTAAAGGGACCTCCTGTCAGGCTCCAATGTTGATTCGTGGGAGGGTAGTTAGCATCCCCAATTCCGACATTCAGGTATCCAGCGTATCCAGCTGTTGATTGCCTCAGGCTAGATTCCCTGTTTAGAGCCAGAGAAAGCAACGGCCTCTTTGATCTTGTAGGCGTTCTCAGACGGCTTGGGCAAAAGTTCCTTCTTGCCTCAGTGCAGCCAGATGCTTTGGGGAACCCACAAACATGGTTTTCCCTCCGGTTGCGACCCCAAACAAGTTAGCCGCAGTCCTTCAAGCCTTCAACTGCTGGTCTTAAGAAAGAGCATGGCTCACTACAGCCTGCCCTTTGTCACTCCTTCCGGGCAAACGTTCCGGTGGTGCAAGCCAAGCAGCCCTTGTTCTTCATCTCGGTGCCAAAGACCTTAACGTCTGGGCAAATGCCCGATTGTGGGATGACAACAGAACCCCTTGCTCTGAAAAGAGGGGTTTTCTCGTCCGCCTTCCGCCCATCCACCTTTATGCTCCTCTGTCCCATTGCCCATGGCTCTTCCCTTGAGGCCAGGCTGCATTGGCTCGGTCTGGGGCATCGTCCCTCTTGTTGGGCATCTTCTTCCTGTGAGCTGTTCGCCGCACACTAACTTACCAAGCCCAGGACTTAGCCAAGCCGACAGGAACCTGCTACACGTCATGTTACAGCATGGAGGTCCGACAAGCCTGCGTTGGCCTCTGTGTAATTATAAAACCGCTGGATTTGCCGGCATTCCCTTTCAAGATCATCCCAAAGAAGTACCTTCAACCAAAGGACACCCACGTTTCTTCAGCGCTTAATCCCAAAATGCAACGCCTGCCTCTCCATCATCGGCGTCTTCTCTCCGGGCCGGGTGCTGACAGACCTGCTGCCACAAAACGCGCAACTCCATGGGATTCTCCCTTTGACAGGTTTATCCCTTGGGGTGTCGAAAGGGGCTCAACAGCTACATAATTCGCTCCTCTGGCTGCTGTTCAATCTGGCCATGTCTATCCCTTCGCAAGGCCGAGGGGGCCTCGCGTGTGGAACTTGCTCTGTGGACACCCGCCGTCCAAACATCGGAATATCTCACAGCTTCTTTGGCGGGTGGTTTGAGAGGGAACCAAAGGGAACCCATGGAGGAATAAGTAGGGTGGCTTCGTGCTACTGGCACCCGCGAAGTTTGCTTCAGCAAACGGCCCCTCACTGAAAGCCAATGGGCAACATGAGCGCTTGCAAGCAAGGGACAGCCCCCCAACGGCGCTGTGTAGCTCTCCCTTGTGCATCTGCCAGATGCGCAGCATCAGCTCGCGACCTCTGGCGAACCCTTGCCAGGCCCCCAGGGTGTTGGAACAAGGTTGAACTTTGCCAATATTTTCGCATACCCAAGTAGTAGCACTCCGCAACCATATTTTGGTAGTGTCTGTCTGTGTGTAGGGCTGCGCGTGCAGCTGTGTAGCTGGCAGGTGCGTTTGTTTGCGTAGCTGTTCAGGTGCGCTTGCTTGCTATTTGTTTGCTTGTTTGTCTGTGCATGCTCACTTAAGCGACTTGGACAGCACCCTGCCAAGAGGCTGAAGACCTTGCTCGCAGGGCAAAGGTTCACCTTGCTGGCAATGCTGGCCCACCAAATGTGGAAGTGTGCAAGCCCCTTCTGGAGGACTACTTTCATTTGGAAGTAGGGACTGCGCCCATCATTGGAAACACCGCAATGGCAACCTCACATTCATCATTGCCCGAGACGATTGACAACCCCCCGGACTGAAAAGATGATGTCGCAAAACAACAGAAAAGGGGCACAACACATGCAATCAAGCCAAATAGCGCCACCCAATTTTTAACCATCGAAGTTAAACAAAGGGAAAGTCAGAAGTACAACATTCGGCAACAAAGCCCACGACCAAACAACAAACAACAAACATCCAGCGACCAACAGCCAACACCCAACAACCAGAACAAGAACAAGAACAATAACAAAAAACAAAAAGAATACCACGAAGAACAGTAATAACAAAACAAACAAGAAGAACAAGAAGAGCTACAAAAGCAATATGAACAAGAAGAACCAGGCACTAGAGGACGATTGGCCCGAAAGCATTTTTCCCCAGGTGCTCATCCAGCCGCGGAGACACCTTTTTACATCGCTGCGGCGAGCGTGTCTGCACGCGGCGATGCTCAATGTGTATGGTCACATGAGAGCTCCATCGGCTCCATCTCATCATCCGAGTTTCCTCTCGAACTGCGCCGCGCGATTTCTCACGAAAGTGGCCTGCGCGAGCTGCATTGTTCCAGGCTGCTGCGCGCAAGTTGCTCTCTGCAAGCTGCTGCACGCAAGTGCTCTGTGCAAGTTGCTCTGCAAGCTGCTGCACGCAAGTGCTCTGTGCAAAGTTGCTCTGCGCAAGTGCTCTGAGCAAGTTGCTCTGCGCAAGTGCGCTGCGCCAGTTGATCCCGCAAGCGCTTTGCGCATGTGCTCTGTGCAAGTTGGTCTGTGCAAGTTGCTCTGGCGAAAGTGCTTTGTGCAATTTGCTCTGTGCAAGTTGCTCTGCGCAAGTTGCTCTGCAATTGACTCTGCGCAAGTTGCTCTGCGCAAGTGCTGCCGGAGCTGTGCGAATGTACTTCGCGTCTATTTTTTGTACTTGAAAGTTGCGTTTTCCAGCCGGAGAGGCGGGAGCACGCTCCGCGTACTACGTTTGTACTTAAAAGCTGCGATTTTCAAGCCGGAGCTGCCGCGGACCAGGGGGGAATCGAACCCGCGACCGCGGGATTGCGAAAGCAGGCGCGCAAACCACGAGACAACTTCCAAAGGCCACAATCGCACGGCGAGAGCGCTTCGACACGCACGATCTCCGCAGAGGGTTCGCCGAGACTAGAAGAATTCGCACGGCGCCACAGCGAGAGCGCTCTTGAGTTTTTGCACCTCGACCACGCCGATCTCCGCAGAGGGTCGCGCGGGCATATCAAAAAACGTTAAAAACCTTGAGTCTTTGCACCTCGACCACGCCGATCTCCGCAGAGGGTCGCGCGGGCAATCAAGAAACGCAAACAACCTCGAGTTTTTGCACCTCGACCACGCCGCAGAGGGTCGCGCGGGCATATCACAAAACACAAAAAACCTCGAGTTTTTGCACCTCGACCACGCCGATCTCCGCAAAGGGTGCCGCCAAAAACGCCAAAAACAAAAAAACTCGAGCTTTTGCACCTC